TATAACAGAATTGAGGAATGCACTGAAAGCCCTCTGTGTAATATTATAACAGAATATGTGATATAATGGTACAAGGTGACCAAGATAATAATGATGAAGACGACGACGACGATGATGAAAGCATGTAATCCACGTTCCATTTTGTGTAACAGTAAACTTCCCTTTCAAAACAAGAACAACTAGCTTGTACTGTAATATTTATTGCGAGGCTTGTATACTAAAGAAGAAAACGGTGATGAAAAATCGTGAATTAATTACATTCAAAGTAGCAATATAAACAAACGTAGTGACCATTTGGAGAAGTCAGATTTCTTTTTTGTGTTACGAACAAATGTAACCCCCCCCCCCCCCCCCCCCCCCTCTTCCACCCCCCACCTTCCCCTCCCCTAAAGGTATACTATGTTAGAGAGTGAAATCTAGAGGTAACATACTTTACACACCAGACGTTTTTGGCAAGAAAAGAGGTAATTAAAGGCAAGATTTCAGGTGGGTTGGCATATGATGTTCATCCCACATTTGTATAGATATATCGACATACAGTGACAAATGTTTACTAGCCACCAAGTTGCTACAACACCCCTCTAGGTTTGTACTGTCTTTTAAAATATAGTTTGCTTATTTAAGATTGCAACCGCTGTCTTCAGAGGTGAAAGTCCTAATATTATTACTACACTGAACCCCCCCCCCCCCTTTTCCTGTGGGTTCCGGGCCCCATTTTGGGCAACAAACAGAACAGACCCATTGCTCCCTAACAGGCATGACGTAAATGTCGACTGATTAGTTAAGTTTCCTTCGAAACCAGAGTGCGTGTACCTGTGAAGTGAAGAATCAGCAGTGTGCAAATATGTCAGATCTGTCAAACGATGTGCATTCAAAACTCAGGCTAAAGTCCAGAAGTGGATGAACATTCAGCACTTTCCCCCAGAGTTGCAGCCGGTGAACGCTAGGAAGAATAATTATATATATATATATAAACATGAAATGAATAACTATTTGAGCTATACAGTAATCATACATTACCTTATTTGACTGTCAACTGATGTCTGACTAACAGAACAATACTTGTGATTTGGTAATTTCCTTGAACCTTAAAGTTTCGAGGGCTTATCTGTGTGAGAAAGCTAGCAGCCTTACCTACAATGCAAACAAAAAACCCGACACGATAGTTCTTCTTCTTATAGTCTGTGCTCCCCGTGTGGGTTTCGAGGTCCCATTTTGAGGAAAACTAGAATAGACCCACTCCCTCTCCAACAAGGATGACTTAGGACTAATTCGAAGTCCCGAGCGGCAAGGAATAACCAACTGCACACTAATATGTCAGTAAAACGGATGCGCAAGCAAAACTTCGGTGCTGGCATAAAGCCGAAGTCCAAATGGACGAACAACCATGACTTTCTACCGGTAAACAAAGAAGAAGGATAGTCCACGCAGTGTGGCGTTAGTAGTCATGTGTATCGACGCAACATTTGCTTCGTGTACTTTCAATCACTTCTGACACAGATGATCTTTCAAGTCATGATATCAAATTTTCTAGCGTTTTCTCTCTGTGTCTTCCTGTACATCTTTTCCCTCTAACTGTTCCACTGTCACGACGTTATCTAGTTTTCTCCTTCTCATGACATGACATGACAAAAGAATGTGGACTGTCTGTTTCTGATGTGGGCAGTCACTTCTTGTCGTGAGTGACTTTTTTTCAAGACATCTTCTTTATTCTTGTTATCTTCTGTACCTCTTCTTCGTGTTCACCGGTTGTAAACTCCGGCGGAAAGTTTCAGTTGTTCAATTACTTCTGGACTTCAGTCTTGTTTTAGAATTTGGGCTTTATGTGCAAATACGTTTTACAGATCTGTGTTACGGGATGATGATGATGGTGGTGGGGATGATGATGATGATTCTATCATAGTAGTTAGTCCTTCTATTCTGTGTTTATTCAGGGATCAAGTGGAGGCAGTTGCGGTGAAATGCCAAAAAGGACTCGATGCACTTAAGATTATGACAGCAATGGACATGGAACAAAGAATGTTGTTCACAATGTTCCAGCATTCAATCCTGTCAATTAAAGATTATGGACTTGGAATGCTTACCATATCAAAGTGTCAGCTGATGAAACTTGAACGCATACAGAATGAGGCTATGGGTGTAATTCTGTGATGTACAAGAGATAGCCCGGTAGTATGTATGTGATATTTGCAGGGCTGTCCGTGTTTTTCTCCATTTGTTTTAATATCTCACACAGGGCTTTCAATCTATTCCTCCATTCTGTTATATACTATAAGAGATAGGATCAAAGTTATGCAAGCAAAGTCATATCTCCGAGTAGCCGCACATTAAAAAAACACCTCCTGCATGAGGTCTTGGGTAGAGCTGAGGGTCACAGGCTGAAGAAAAAAGGAAAGTCTTGGATGGCGCACGCTGAAGACACAATTAAACATGTGTGCAGGCTTGATAGATTTGGGCGAGAACGTCGCTTATTGCAGTAAAGCCTGGCATATGCCACCGCAACATCTAGTATGAGAATAGGAGTCGTATGTCGTAATTGTAATCCAGCATGTTGAGAAAGGTGGCGACCGGTATGCTACGTAAAGAGTGGCAAGCATCGCTTCTGAGGTAGTGGGTAGATAGTTTCCTTTGGAAATTTACACCTGGATATGACTGTGTATTAGGAAATGAAAAGACAAATAAACTGGCTTGTTCTCCACAAGTTGGTAGTGAAATGATGCTTGATAGGGTAGATGTTGTAAGGTTTTTTTGGGTGTGATTGATCAGTGCAGAAGCACAAATGGATCATTATGGTCTGAGGAGAATAGTATTGGAAGGAGTGACTAGGCGATCTGGTCTACGCTCAGCATTCAAGCTTAAGGTGAGATGGAAAGACAGTCAGACTGCTATTGGTACTACTGGAATTGCTGCTGAAAATGGGGACGGAGCGTTTATGATAGTGTCCTAAATTTCGTGATGTCGATTCCTAATTAAGCACTCAACATTAAACATTGTGTGTCACACCAGTTGATGAATGTTCGTAGTTTAAAAATGAGAGTGCTTTAGTTGTTTCCCGTGTGTGTGTGTGTGTGTGTGTGTGTGTGTGTGTTTTTTTTTTTTTTTTTTTGTATACAAGGTCCGACAGATAAATAATGAGACTGATTTTCTGGTAATCTTAATTTGGTAATCTTAGTTTCAGCTTCATAGAAAACCAGTCACCGGATAGTTGCTCCGCTCCTATGCCAACGAAAAACACACAGAATGTTTATCCCAGTCCTTTGTGGAAAAACTGACAGACTGCTGCCTCAGCATATGCACTAGCATACACACGCATTAAAAGCATACGGTAGCTATCCGAAGTGCTAACACAAACAGTCCGACATTAAAAATGCAGTTCATCGTGGACAGCAGCACTAGCAGAAGTCACCAACAGATCAGCAGCTGCACACGGGATCAATTTTGATCACTCAATGGCACCACCAATATTGCGACAACAAGCATCGCGCGATTTCCTGAATCTTTAATTCACACCAGTACGTTGGTCACAGTAGAAAAACATTCCAAATGAAATCCGCAGCTCACAGTGTCACTCCATGCACTCAACTCAGTGTGGGTTCTGAACTCCATTCTGATGTGTTAACACCGGTGGGCTTTGCTAGTCGCACACGTTATTACCATGGTCTGTAAATCCTACACATCTCTCCAAAGCACAATTAAACACGATTGTCTGTAAATACCGAATGTAAAACTGTTCCTCTAAATTCCGTTGAAGCATAGAACGACAACCAACTCAAACCAATCTTTAAACTATAGACTCACTGCCTCTCAGCGGACTTTTGGTAAAAAGGGGAAAAGAAATTAAGTTTTTGTTGAGCTAGTATATCTTTGGCCGTCCAGTGTTGCTGCAGGCCACCATACAACGTTTAAACCGACATTTTAGGAGGGAACGCAGAACGAGGAAAGGAGAACTTTCCGTCAGTTAAATTCATTACCTTTGTCGTACCGTGTATTTCTGGACCGAATTGTTGTGAACTTCTTATCTTCCATCTGATTTTCAAAGTAGTAGTGGTGAGGCCTGCATGTCTTCTTCTTCTGCCTTTCTATCCCCCAATGGAGCATAGGCTCTCAACCAACTCACACCAAGTCATTCTATCCTTACATGGAGCTCATGTTCTCCTCATCTTTCTAACTTCATTCTCCAGCTCTCTTCTCCGTATATTTTTAGAGTTCATTTATTCCTATGCCCCTGTGGGTTCCAATGCAAAGACATCTTAGTTATGCTGTTCTCGTGTTTTCTCAGTGTGTGTCCTATCCAACGCCAGCGTCTTTTTTTCACCTCTTGGTCCATTGGAGCCTATTTAGTTCCCCCCAAAGCTCTAAATTAGTTATTCTACCATTTAATTCCCTCTATTCTGCATGTAATAAACTATTATAAGCCTGACACCTTCCATTACCAAAGAAGAATTATTTTACCTTTCATTGTTGTCTATTACTATTTATCACAAATACACCACTAGGTTTACGTCTGGAACAATGCAGAAATGGCGTCCACAGCATGCTTACGCCACTAATACAGAAACAGTGTCTAGCGAAAGCTACCAGTTACTAGTACTACAATGTTAGCTGCGCTAGCAAATTCTGATCAGCGAATCGACGAGAAAGAAAACATTACCTGATACCCTCTACAGTGTAATCGTTACTTGTGAATTGATCAAGCATCGCCATTTCTGAGTAGACATTAAGGCAATGTCGTTTTGCAAGTCCAGATGCGTGATAAATTGATTAGTAGATAATTAGTCAAAACAGAGAAGCCCAAAATGTAAAAAAGCCGACAGTAAATTTTATATTAATTTACTTTAATCGATACTGGAAATGAAATTAACTGCACAATCCGCAAAATTTGCGACAGAATTTATCCCCATCGGCGTAAACTGAACAGATTGGATGCGTCGTTTCGTTCATGTGGAAACAATCTTCGTATGTCAGGGCGTCCCTGCATACATTACTTGGAAGTGCTGGACAGTTGAGCTCGTCACTCTTATCTCCACAGTCATTGTCTCCGTCACAGGTATAAAAACTTGGTATGCATAAGCCGTTAGTGCAATGAAACTGAGAGTCTGCACAAGAGCAAGCTATTTCGTCACTGTGATCAAAGCAGTCATGGAAGCCGTCACATACGTTAGAATTAGCAATGCATCTGTCTTTATCGGCACATTGCCACTGATCCTTGCTGCAGCTAAGGTTGTAACAGTTCTTTTCATCGGAACTGTCAGGACAGTCAACCTGTAGGGCATTTAAATCTCCCAGCAGGGCATTCAAAACTCCCACAAAATGCTTCGTCTGAATAGTCTGCGCAGTCTGCATGGCCGTCACATTTGTCTACAATTCCAATACACTTGTCGCTATTCTCACACTTGAACTGGTTTTGTCCCGTGCAGTCTGTTGGACAGTTCTGCTCGTCTTCTCCGGTGTAACAGTCGTTATGTGTATCGCATACCTCATCAACTGAAAAAGAAAACAGGCTAAATAATTATTTACTCTCTCTCTCTCTCTCTCTCTCTCTCTCTCTCTCTCTCTCTCTCTCTCTCACACACACACACACACACACACACACACACACAACACACAAACACACAATGTGTTTGTTTAAAGAGCTCTTTTAGTTTAATTAAAAAATTAGTGCTCTTCAAATTAAAATAGCATTTCCCCTACTGGCTTGCTGTAGAAAATGTCGATATATTTAATGGTCGCTGTTTGTGGCTGTATTCTTTTCAGTTTGAAGAAGATAAAATATAGCCGAGCCCTCCCTAAACGCCTCTTACAACATACAAGATAGTGTGTAGTATTACCACTCTTTGCCCGGCTCTCTAGCGTAGTTGGCTATACCGTATTGCGCGGTGACCGGGTGACGAACTCCTTGTGGTCCGGGTTCACTTCCGGGGGAAGGCAGAAAAGCCACATTTCTGCCAGATTTAGGGTATTTGTAATGCAATCAAGGCCGAAAGGTTGCGATATCCATTATACCGAACCTAAGGGTTAACAACTCATGGCTTCTGGATACTAAAAAAAAAAAAAATTCCACTCTTCGCTCCCCTTATCCATCTAGTAACAGCCAATAGCCGTAAATTTTACTGACTATTCTCAGCGCAGTGAATTGAATGTGTTCAGTATTACATCAGCCGACTTTACTTCCCATGACATTACCTAGCTCTGAATTTAAGCTAGATCGATCTGAAAACCTAGATTATTTTTTTAAACATATTTTTATTTACACATCGAAGGATTCAACTACAAGACTACTGGCAGACAGACGTGCGAGACATTGTTTGACCAAGTACCCCCCCCCCCCCCCCCTTCCCCCAAACCAACCACTACGTCCATAATACCCCTTCCCTCCCCCTTTCCTACCCCTCCCAACCCCACTTATTTCTTTTCGACAGTCACCCAAATGAAAATACAGCAATAAAAAATGAAAATTGTACTTGATATACAACTCCCAGTGGAGCATCTGAACTCGTTGGCTTTACAGACGCTGGTAGCCAGGAGAAGTCTTTGGTGTTTCTCCCCAACCTTGTCACGTTTCTCCTTCAGCTTCAACCTCTCCGTACAGTCTGTGACAGCCACAATAAGTGCCAGTGCCAAGATGGCAGCAGAGAGATAGCCTTTAGACATTGCCAATCCTTCTTGCTTGATTTTATGAACAGAAACAAAACAGTTTACAACAAAATGTAAGGTACTTTGCCAAGTAAAGATGAGAAAATATGCAACTATATAGTTCGTTCAAAATCTCATAAACACACTTGCAAACCATTTTCCCGAAAATTTCCTGTTAGTACACAACCATTTTGTTGTTGTTGTTGTATGAAGCCTTACAATATCGATGACGCAAAAATAATCCTACTTTTTAGTCTACAGATGTGCTAAATACCAGCCAATTCCTTTGATCTTTTCAAACCATTGTAAATAAGTGGAGTTAACTTTTAGATTTTACAATAAAAATCTGAATTTCCGGTTCTATTTTTATTTCTCAGAGGCGTGCCTTCATAATACAGTATTGATAGGTGACGAAGAAAGACATCACATCACTCGGGGCATTCCAAAATGCGCTCTGTCCCATCTTCATCAGCCAGCGCAGAGTTTTAATAATAATGGTGCCTGGCGCAGTCTGCTTATATGTCCATCTTGCCATTGCCTTGAGTGTAGTGTGCCGGCCAGGCCCTCTGATCATCCCCAAGTGTATCATTCTCTCCAGGCCATGATAATCTATTTTCACTTCTGACTTCATTACTTGTTCCCAAAGGGCCTTGACCACATTCGCCTTGTCTTGTATCAACTCACTACCCAGTGGTGCAGATCCAGTCAATATGTCTGCCTTGTTCAAATGTAAACATATCCTCCATATGTAAAAGTTAGTGACCCCCTTCAGTCAACATTAGACCTCATGTTGTATCTTCACTGCCCAACAAATTGTATTATGGTTGACACATTTGGATATGTAGATGTATTTTTGTTGCAACTGTAGATGTACTTAAAGGGTTGATGATTTTGAATCACTTATAAAAAAAATATGGTTTTAATCATTCCGATTCCGACGGTCCCAAAAGGTTGATAATTGTTATTGGCTGAACAAATTGTAACCCATCTCGGTGCCACTACTTGTCTTCCTCTCGGAGCACATGTTCAAAACTTTTTTCAGAAATGAATGTCTATTTTTTAGAAGGACTTTTTAAAATGTCAACACTGCTTTATGATTTCAATGTTAATTTCTGTTTTGGAGAGCAACAAGTTGATTTGTATCTAACATTTTTAAGATCTCACGTCTAATGACATCTACATCAAAGTCGTCAACTTTCTTTTCAATTCCTTGCTTAACATGAGTGTACTCTGTGTCCTGTCTAATCCAACGGTTAAATGATGCTCTTTCCAGACCAAATGCCAATCGTGTTCGTATCTCTGGTTTATGAATATCACAATATAAATGACACATTTTAGATTTCCCGAGGAAAAACTAATTTGTGGATGCGCCTTTGTCTAAACAACCTTGACCGAAGTCTTATCTTGGCGCGAGGTCACTAATAGTTCCACGTTGCCGAAAAAAATCATGAAGTTGCGCAGCTTTCCTTTGACCCTCTGTTAAAATATTTCCTCAGCGTCATGGATATTCTAAGGCTGCATGAAAAAAAAAATCATTGCGATTAACAGGCAGTTTTGGAGAAAATGGCTTGCATGTGTGTTTATCGTTTGTTGAACAAACTATAGAGTGAACTTCAACACTTATAGAGAAACTAGCTGTACCCGGCCACGTGTTGCTGTGGCCCAGAATGGTAAACTATAGAAGAAAGAAAATCGAAAGCGCACCTGTCTTATATGGTTAATATCAGTCATTGCACAGCTACAGAGATAGTCTGATATGCCGACTCTAGAACACGCAACATATAAGTGAATGTCGATGTTAGTCGTCGAATAAAGTGCACTGATAGAGAAAGGAAAAGAATATTTGTTTATTGCAGGCTTAAGCATTGTTTGTGCTTAAACAGGTGAAAGAAAAGCTGACTGCTTTACCTCTAACTGACCAACAAGCTGGTACACACAGAAAAAATAAGAATAGCGAAGGCAGCGGTATTAAAATATAAATATTTAGGAAATGAGAACTGTACGATAAAGTTATAAGCTCTCTGAGCTAACAGTGTCTGTCATAATCCCCTCCTCCCCTTCTCCAATTATGTCTCCCTCTTCGAATGATTGAAAAATTATCACCCGGCGACATTGTTGAAATAGAAATAGTTAAGAAATGAGAACTGTAAAATGATGTTTTAAGCTCTCTCAGTTAACAGTGTCTGGCATCAACCCCACTCAACACCCCCTCCCCCCGCCCTCTGACAATCATATCATCTTCTACGAAAAACCCGCACCCGCCATCTCTCCCTCTCCAAAGGGACGATTTTTAATTAACCTTGGCATCCGTGTCGACCCAAACCAAACTGGACGCTTAGCCGTCTTAGTTAACAGTTTCTGTCATCAATGAATAGTTTTTGATCGAGTGTAGCGTCGGGTGAAGGCTAATTGGGACTTTACAGAAATCTGATGTCTTTAGGCGTAAGGCACAGATATCGCAACCCAGCTGTAAACCACAACATAACGTCCAAACCACCCCTTTATGGGAAAAAAAATTAGCACCCAGCGGGGAATTGAACACCGGTCACCCGCGTGAAGGGCTGAATACTTACAACTATACTACCAAAGACTGAAGACTTTAGGTCAGATATCGCAGTCTAGCTCTAAACCACAACACAACGTGCCAACCGCCCTCTCAAGGGTGAACAAATATTACCCGGGACCATGACCAGTGAGCATCACGTCACCGCTATCGCTGGCTAGCTGTAAACCACAAAACCCAGCAAAAAAGGCGTAAATATCGCAGCCTAGCTATAAACCACAACAAAACGTGGCAGCCACCCAGTTAGGGGCCCCCTAAAAAAATTATATCATCCAGCGGGGAATCGAACACTGGACACCTAAGTGAAGGGCTGAATACTTACAACTATACTACCGAAGACTAAAGGCTCAGATATCGCAGCCTAGCTGTAAACCACAACACAATGTGGCAACTGTCCTCTCAAGGGCAAAAAAAATTACCCGTGACATGACCAGTGAGCATCACGTCACCGCTATCGCAGCCTAGCTATAAACCACATCAAAACGTGGCAGCCACCCAGTTAGATGCCCCCACAAACAAAAAGTATATCATCCAGCAGGGAATCAAACGCCGATCAGCCGCGTGAAAGCCGGAATGCCTACAACTACGCTACCAAATACTCAAGCATTTAGTAGAAATGAAATTATATAATAATAATGTGAGGTTCAGTGTTACACAGCCATAGGTGGCTAATCAACTAAAAACAAATCTGGGCCAGCAACGAAATAACTAATAAAATGATCGTTGCTGGATCTACGTCGTTTGTAGTTTGTGCAACACTCATACACACAAACACGCGCGGAGTCTAAGGCAACGTTGTGGGAAAATTTGAAAGCGATCGGTTAAGAAATGTCGGAGATGGATCATGTGGGAAAAGGCATCTATTGGCAGCCCTGCTCAGGAGTCAAAGGTGGCCAATCAACTAAACACAAATTTGGACGGGCAACGATACAAAAAACATTTGACCGTTGCTGGAATTACGTCGTTCGTGTGTTGTGCGATTTTCTGACAGAAAAACACCCATTGAGTCAAGGGCAACGTTGTGTAAAATTTTAAAAACAATCGGTTCAGTAGTTTTGCAGTCTGTAGGTAACTACCAAGGAAAATTAACATTTGTATTAGGGCTGTACCGAATATTCGCTTTGTATTTGCTTCAGGGCCGAATAGT